CGGAAACTGTACCGCGCTGCTCCAGGGCAGGCGTAATCTCGTAGATCCGAATCACCACATTGCTACACGTCGAAGTTGCTTGCATTGAAAATTGTAATTTGCTGTACCTGAACTATTCAAGGAGTCGCCCAGCTCTGAGAGTACTTCCTCTGTTTGAGCTAGGTTTGGTGTTTTACCCATGAAGTTTGTTGGGGCCGCTATTACCACAGTGAATCCTTTTCGCTGCGGTTTATAATCCATCTATCTGGAATAAGACTTTGAATATCCCAATTAATAAGATCGAATACACCACCTGTTCTCCTCGGGCCTAGTAGATAAGTTTATCACTTTAGCCCCGACGGGTGGAACACGGGGTAATAGCAAAAAGCTATACAAACCTCAACTCTGCTCCACACTTCACACTTCTTTCTTCACCTTCAGGGTAGTTACTCACTGGAACGCATTGCCAGAAGACATAGTCTCTTCAACAAGCAAAGCGTCATTCAAGTCTCGACTTGATAAGTATCTAGGTCTAGTTGCCTCTTCTTGAGTCCTCCCTCGAAATTTTTTTCATAACAAACAAAAAACTTTTATTTTTTAAATTTTTTATACCTACTGTAGCCCTCTTCTAGTTATTTATGCCTTTCCCCACTTACTATAGGAAATTGTTATATTTATTAATAATGTTGACAGTATAACTAGCATCCCTAGTCCCCGGGCAAGACGATATTTTGCCCCTCCAGTTTTCTCTAATTTTCCAGTTGCATTCCCCGAGAACAGACCACAAGAAACCATCAAGGATCCGGGACCATTGGACGCCAGACTCGAACCCGAGAGACCATCCAAGACTTCACTTCAAGACCCATGGCGGGTGTTTGGTGTTAATGGGGTGAGGAGAATCCATGCATGGAGTGATGGATTCCGATTACGGACCAACTGCCGGGATTCATCGATATCCTGAGGATTTCGAGAATCCCAATTTATGAGTGATGCAGCTTGACGCATTTCCCGAAAAGCTGAGCGCCATACATTCCGTCCGTCCTGTGGTGTGTCCGTATAAGGTACACCATGCCTCTAGCGTATGCGCAAAACAGAGATATCGCTAGATCCACTTGGTGAAATGAGGTCAATCCTGGTCGTATCTGATTGCCTCGACTAGACCATCAAGAAAACGATGAATTTCTGATCCCCAATTATCCGCGTGGTTAAAAGGATCCGGGACCATTGGGCGCCAGCCTGGAACCCGAGAGTCACCTTAAGGCTTCAAGACAACAAGTTAGAGAACCCAGGCAGCAAAAGGAAGCTCTCTGGAAAACTAATCCGCGTGCTGGGAGAAGATGTCAGTTCCCCATTCAGCATGTGGCGCATTTGAATCACTCAATACAAGACCATTCCCTAAGTTATTTACCTACCGCACCCGTTTTGCCTAAAATGTCCTTTGTTCCGTTCTTACGCAGAAACAGTTTTGTGTCACGAAATCATCGCCTTGTTTGTTTAGTCACATTGTTGCTACGCCACACTACTCTTGGCTGCGTTTATAACTGCCGCAACACGCGCAGTGTTCTGCGCATACAAATGGATGCTTACTCAGTTACAGAACAAATCGCGGAGAATACAACCACTACGGTGTACAAAGCCACAAGAAATACTGATGGTCTTCCGGTGATAATAAAAGTTTTCCATTTGAATGCATTGAACCCGCACCACTTGCGACAGTTCACATGCCCATACACGTCAGTGTCAAAGAATGCCCCATCCGAGATCATCATACTCGAGAAGGTGAAGCAGATCCCTTCATGTGTCACAATGATAGAGTATATAGATGACTCGGAAAACGGCAAATGGGCAGTGGTTCTGGAAGATTTGTATGCTCAAGGATACTCGAATTTGGCCCGAGAAATAGGCGAAAGCGACTATCCCATTGATGATTACGTGGTTTCCTGGATTATGCGAGAATTGATATCTGTGTTGGAACAGTTACATAATCTTGGTATATTACACTGTGACATAAAACCAGATAATGTTTTCGTTGACCACGAGAGGCAGAAGATAAAATTAATTGATTTCAATTTGGCTGTCGAACTAACGGATCCTGTTAATGGCGCAACTCCTGGATGTACACCCGAGTATGCACCACCCGAGGTCCTAGTACACCGGAAGCCTTGGACTATCGCAGGAGAAATTTGGTCCGTTGGTTGCACCGCATTCGTTTTGCTCTGTCGCCGTTTCCCCTTCGAAAACCCGTGGATGTCCGGATACTCAAGCCCTGCTTATCCGCAGTGTATACCAGAGCGTAATGTCAGATCAGGATTCGGGAACGCTCTTCAAAGAGGAATACTTTTTGACGGGGCTTTACGCACCGGTACTCAAAGGACTCCCCAAAGGAAAGTAAATGGCGGTCTTTCACCTAAGGCCAAAGACTTTTTGCTACTGTGTCTATCTCGTCTTCCAGAACAGAGACCGACTCTCAAACATTTGAGTCAACATTCATTTTTGGCCCTCAAAGCCCCATCATTGTGTACAGTTTCCAATTCCATCGTGCTTTCGAATTCCCCTCGTACGGTCCTAGTGTCCTAAATATTTTTCAGCCACATTGTTCTGCATTATGATCTCTTCATTCATATTTTACTTTGTATCCCATAAGCCCAGAAATGAAATGGGAACCAGGCTGCTTTACTTTAATTGTGCATTCCGTGTGCGCACTTTCGTGGCTCATCTGCGCTTTTCCCGGTTTTCGACACTCCCTTTCGCATGTTTGACATTCGCTGCTCTGTCTTTGCTGATGTATTTAAACCTGTTTACTTGAACACAAAGACAGCAATCATACTCGTCATCCAACTGTAATGAATCCCTCTGTAGGGCGTCACTAAAAGTGGGTGGTCGTTGTACGCATATTTGTTTTCATTTTGTACAAATGTCTGTTTTAAGAACCAGCTATAAAACTTGCACAGAGAACTATGTAAGCTCGCTTTTGTGTTTAATGTTCCAAAGAGCTATTTAACGAATCTTCTGTTGTTTATCCTGCTACCAATATCTAATTGAGCGCGGCTCATTGCTGTATGCAGGTGACGGTTACATTTACGGTCGTATCTGGTTCCCTCTGAAGTCGCATTGTACTAGCATGTTCAAGAAAGACGTAGTTTTATTTGCCATTTGCTTTCCGTGGTAGAAGCATTCCGTTGTTCGATTGGTACCGATTTAAGGCATGCGGAAGATTTCTGTTTATTGGAGTTGCATGTATTAGTTATGTCACATCAGGAGTTTATGTGAGGGGCATATATGGCACCGTTCTCAGAAGAAAATCAAAAACCTGTTATACTTCGTGGAAGTGTATCAGGTGGCGTTAAGCGCCAGTGTAGCAGGTTCATGTGTGGCTCATTCCACCGAGCGCCCATATTTTTGTTAATACCAATGACGATCTCTGGATATTCATATTGTATTCCTGCAGAGAAGTTTAGTAACTCATATATTAATATTACACCTGAGTTATCTTACCAGTACTAACATTCAAGTTTCAGGTATAATATGACGGTCTCTAACGGTGATGATTGAAGTATATGGTAAGGCACACTTTCGGTTCGTTAACTGAGGTTCCGGATGATTACAAACTGATTAGTGTTGGACCGAACCTGAATTCACTATCTCAAACGCTTCTGACCTTTCGGTTGGTATGTGAGATCTTATAATAGGCATTCGCTAGTCGTATCGTATTTTTGCAGGTCCTTCTCCAGGGTAACGAAAGCCACGTCTTTAGCGATCTACCTTCATGCCTACTCTGCATGTATCGTCTCCCGGATTAGGGTCTTGATGATACGATTACCGGTTAACTAAGTTGTGAGACGTCACTCAACGTGTGTTGCAGGTGTTCACGTATCTTTATAGGTTTAGGTTTTTTAGTTAGTTTGCGCTATCTACGATAACTCAACGAATTACCCCAACGTTCCAGGATGCGGTGAAGAGTGATAAGACTATTGCTCTGAACGGATAAGACGGACAACGCGTGACAAACGGTTCATAAAGCGAGACCTGCCGCGAAAGGTTTACAAGTGCAATTAGGATTTACTTTCATCATGTAAATCTTCATCCCGCTCTTTTATTCAAATGGGCGACCAAAAGACAGCAACCAAATCCGGCGCACGAAAGTGCATGGTTAATGGTTGTAAAAGCTGAACTGAACTCAATTAGATCAGCTTTAGGTTGAGTTAAAAATAGATACTTCAATTTTATTTTTTATTACACAATTGAATACAGTGAAGAGAGTCAAGCCATAATCCAAGGTTGTAATGTACACGGGATGACAAACGAAGCATTCGGGATGAAAACAACTTGATGATACTGTGTTTAAAGATAAGGATGTGATTTTGGGGAGGGGGGGAAGGTAAGACCGAAAGGTGGATAGTGTGTCATAATTGTGCTGTTCTTGGGTAAAAGGGTGACTGAAAGAATTGCGACACCTGGGGGATAGTTGCTCGAAATAGGTGACTGGTCGCTTATGTACGGGACCTACGAGGAAGGACAAGTGGACAGCAGATGCAAGTTCAGTGGAATGAAGTACAAGATAGTCCTGTTAGAAATAGGATAAGGAAGCGACTGCTCGAGGATGAGCTATTTACTAGATACGTCTGACGCGGAAGAGGGAACCGATTTTGCACGCAGCGTGATAGCCAAGTAGATAAATAAACATTGATCATAAAAGAAAAGAAGATAAGGATAGTCCCAATGGGTTGCATGAATCTGTGGAACAGAGAACGTTTGCTTTGAAGTGTAATGAGAAGAGAAAGGGAAATGGTCATAAGGAAGTTTTAGTGGCATTAAGGAGACCGTGGTTCGGACAATCCGAGCAGAAATAAGGCCAGGATCAGAATTTCGGGAGATACTGAGAGTACTGGTCATTGATGGTGCTGGAGTTATCGGTACGGGAAGAGAAAGAAGACAAAGAGTCATCGGCAAAGGCATGAGTAGGGTTTGAAGCTGAGGAGAGAAGATCGCCGCACCGCAACCGGAGAAGTACTGCTAAAGTTAGAGGCATGGTTCTGGGCAACCATGGTCTGGATCAAGTTCTCGATCTTCATAGAGTACGTTGGATGGGGCCTTGTGCTACGTATACCAATAAATAGATTTCCTCGATGTGCCATGTTCATCAAGGCAGGTAGTGACTGGAGGAAGGTTAACGGTGGTCAAATTGAAACTTGACATGAGGGTAAGAAGACCCTGACCAGAAACTTTGTGTATTGTGATCTGTAACTCTTGCAAGCACCGTCTGCTGTTCCTCAGACTAAAATGTGTAATAAAACACCCAAAAAAGGTATACAATGAGAAATATACGATGCCCAAGGAAATCGATGACCATAATGTACGACAGCTCCATCGCCCAGTTTCGCTGATTGTCGCTTAAACTATTTAAGAAGCATTGATCACAAAAAATGTATTTGGCTTGATCAGCTATCGACTATCCGGCTTAATGTTATCAATACTATTCTATTTGCCCTCGTCTAGTTGATATACAAGGTTACAGTTAACGTTCTGGAAGGAGGCTTTAACCGATTGAAGGTTGATGGATATAAAATTACGAGAAAGAGAACCGGTTCATTCGGTCGCTTCTGTTTGTTAGAACTTTTCGTGTGACGAGTTAGGGTGCTCTTTTTTGGCACAGGTGGTGAGTTTTAATCCAACAAACTGAATACCGTGAATGGCTTAAATCACTCCACCAACATCTCGATGTAGATCTCATCTAGTGGTCATTTCCTTCCCAATTG